ATATATATAGTCTGTCTAAAAAACTTGTGTTTTATAGAGATTTTAAAGGTTTTTTTAAGCTAGTCACCTTAAAGACAAGGCTATGAGTCTGTGTCAACGGATATGTTTTAAGACAGAAACCTATTTCTTAACTTTTGTGTTTTTCTTTAACTATTTTTGTTCTTAGAGTGTGCACCAGCATGACTTAAGGTCCCCTTTTTACACCGATGTTTATTCAAAACCCGCAACCAACAGCATGAATTGCTTGTTTCCTTGTTTTCAGTGCACTGTGTTAGAGAATATTGAAAGTAGTGAAATATCACTGAATGGAGATGCCACAAAACTTGTTTTTTTCCAAAAAAAACTTTTTTACACAGATGACCCACATGACAGGACCTGCATTAGAAATGAATGCTGCTCATTTAAAAAATAATCCTTATTTCGTCATGACATGCAGTTATTTTGGTGTTAAAACAAAATATAGTTTTTACAACAAAAATAAATTTAAACCACAGCTTGCTTCTAAAATCAAAGCTTTGTTTTTTTAATGAAAGTCTGGTACAAGTATTGTGAACTGCAACAGACAAAAGCAGGCAGGGATTAGCACACAGACAACTGGTTTTAAAAATGAAAGAAAACACTATGTTCTAAAAACAACCAGAACTGTCTCAACATCAGGCTCACGGTGAAAGCTTGTCAAGCACAAGTACGTACTTCCCAGCATTCAGTGCATAATAATCACACACCCTGAGCTAAAACAAACAGCAGAGCTGTGGGCAGTAGGCCAGGTATTTCTTGGGTAAACCGTAAAATTATTAAGTTTCAAATATAACATCTGCAGGTAGTATAACGTCTCACTTTGCCTATTCATTCTCATATTTTTGTGGTCACTGTGTGTTGGTAAAAGCCTGTATTTTGACAAGTGAAAACATGTAGTTTATCTGACCATCCTGACGCAGCATTTACCTCCTCACTGCCACTAATTTCCATACTTGTAAAACCAGTTCAAGCATCCACGTATCCTGAGGTTTCAAACAAAATCACTAGTCAAACACTGTAACTATCTATGCAACTTCAAAAATATCCTGCAGTTGTTTTCTGGCTCCAGCTCAAATTACTCTGCCGCCTGAAGCAGCACAGTCCTTGTTTTGTTCAATTTATTTTATTGCAATAAGAACTTTAAATAGGGACGCTCACCTGAGTTGCACCTCTTATGCATGGTGACAAACATTCAGAGGCGAGGGGGCAGAGGGTTGAAGGAAGGAGCTCAGGATAGAGCTTCGGGACAGAAGATAAGGAGCCGTCTGCCTCATTGACACCCCTGAAACAGCAGCACACACAAAAAGGAAATAAACATTAGCAGATTGTATGCATCATTGTTTAAGGAACTGCTCATTTTTTATAACCTCATCTCTTTGTAACATTCATTGAAAGAACTGCTGCTGCTGAGTTTATAGTGAGAGAAAACTAAACAGTTCATTCAATCTGATAATAAAAAKACATGTCGGAGTTACTTTTGGTTTTTAGAACAGATTGACGCAGACAAAAAAAGACATTTGCTCAACACAGAAACGAGGTGGGTGACAAACTGCTACAAGCATTTTTTTTGTTACAGACACGCCCACTCACAATAGATTCTTGATAAAACAGAAGATAAGGCAAATAGGATATTTAGAGAAACATTTAGAGGAAGTTTATTTTTTTTATAAATGAAAAGTTAAAGGTGCAATATAGATATGGCTTTATTTTGTGAGCACCAATGGTTGTCAGCAGAATCAGTGTCCCATGTGATGAGGTGAGACAGAGTTAGATCTTGCAGATTAGAAGACTATTGACTGACAGTTTCTTCAATCCTTTACTGAGTCAACAAAGTGCATGTTTTAAACCAACACATTGTCAGAACAGCTTTTGCTTCATGAACAAGGCAGCTCACATTATGAAATATATAAAATGTTTAGTCAAGTGCATTTATCATAATTGCCTCATAACTAAATGTGTGATGTTCGCTGCAACTAAAAACATTTAAAAAATCAAAGAGTTGTACCTGTTCCCTGGGCACAGCTTGGTTCCAGTCTCCTGAGCATTTGGTATTAGTAAAGAATCTTGAAGTGGGATGAGGGCTGGGCTGGGAAATCCACTCACATTACCCTTCCCACTGTGAAAAAGATCTGCTTTCTGTCCGAGGCTTCCAGAAGTGTGTATCTTCTCCAGTGTTTTATTCATATCACTGGTGTGGGTTGGCTAAATCCAAGGCATCATCCGGAGTGAAAAGGAGAGGCGAGCTGCTGGGCTGGAGAGCGTGCCCAKTTGGAGCAGGCTGAACTGGCGGTGCTCTACTGCTCACAGCTCAGCAGTGCGCACACACACACACACAAGTTGTTCTGGCTCATCTGCTGCCCACAGGGCTGGCCCTGTGGGGCAAATGATCCCTCCTACCCAAACATGATCCACCACAATAAAGATATTTTTAAACACAATGACTCTCAAAACAGACACCCTTGTCCTGGCCTTATGATTAACACACACACACTGTMGTATATATTAAAGATCAGCCTTTTGTGTCAATTATAATTTTCTTTTGCAAGCTGGAAATCAAAGAACTTGCAAACAAAGAACAAAAGAGTTGATAAGTCCAAGAAGGCTGTAAGTCCAGCTGCTCTTTATTACTGGACTTTGTACAGGATCTGCACTTTAAAACCCACTTCACTGTAGGCTGCAGACGGTCATAAAAAAGTTGCCAGTCAGTGCAGCAGACTGGTTGTGTAGCTGACTGTGTCACTCAGTTACAGGCTCCACGTGGGGGATGGTTAGGATGATAACATCATTCTGAAAGGTAATGTGTAACAGACAGGCAGGGGAAGATTCCAACAGGCAGCGTACAGTAAAAGCTAGTGAAGAAAGGCGTGCACTATTGTTTAAAATATATTGGTCAATAAGACATGCTGCAGAGATTATTTAAACTTAAATTTAGAAAAACCACCATGTAACAAAATTACTAAGTTTTCTTCATAAAAGCACTCAACTGTGACAACTTATTTGTATTATTTACTCTCCCTTCACATATACAGTACACTGACCCAGATTTAGCTACAAATACTCAAAAACACAGGTCAGACATTTCCTTGAAAGGATGCTAGTGCCCATTCTGAGACTCTGAACTTTTCCTGAGCAGATTTTTTATTTTTATTTTCWCAAGTGCCTGGTATGCTTTGCATCTAAGCTTTTAAAAATAATTTTCTAACCAGATTTAGTAAAGCTTGTATCCAARTCTTTTGTACCCTTCAGAGTTTCTGAATACATCACTAATTACAAGTTCACCTTCACCACTTTCAGAAAAAGAAACAGGCCCTTATTTTGTACTCAGTGCACTGAGCTTTTTTATTTTATTTTGTGCAAAAAAATCCCAAATCTTTTTGATATTCATAACCTTGTTTGAAATGTGTTTTGATTAAATATTAATCTACTTTGTATTGCCTGCTAAAGTGAGAGGGGATAACTTTCCCCATATCTGAGTGCATTTGTTTGTAGCATCCCGTAAACAACAGATTTTTGTGAAACTCTTAGAAATATAAAAAAATATGGTTTTGCAACTGGTTAGCTTTTTGGAAACAAACCCATTCAAGATTGCTGCGATGGCTAATTAGTCATAGCAAACACACAAGTGGCTTTAACTCAGTCACTTTTACAGACTCAGAGTCAGTTTTGCTGCAGTAGTAGCTGGGAGTCATCATCAGTACATTATCTGAGCAACATCTTATTGCATGAGATCTAATTGGCTTTCTGTCACTTGTTTAAAMTAGAAGGCAACGGCCCTTCAAAGGATAGGCTTTTAGTTTTGCATTTTTTTTTATCTTATTTTACTTCTTTATTCCAGTTGAATGTTTTTTTTTAATCAAAAGCACCAACATTTTAAGATTAAACCTGCTATTCCTGACAAATCCACTGGTCTGTGTAAAATGATAAGAGTTCCTATTAATGCAGAAACAAGAAGTGAATGTGCTCATTTATCTAAATATCAAAAGTGACCCAACAGGGTAAGGTTGTCCATAACCTTCCACAGAATACAACTTTAAAAAGACTTGAGTCAATGTTTCAACACTAAATAAATGAATAAACCTCCACTATGCTTCTTTAAGTGGTTTTCAGTGCAGCTGAAGGCTAAAATGTTTAATATGTTTCTGGGTCACACAGGATATTGTTTATTTGTGAATGACTGTAGGACKTAATTTAAGCTATTTGTGCAGGAAAGCAATGGAAGAAAAAACAAATTAAAGAAATAATAAGAATATTGGCCAAGTGACATAAAAGCTTTAATTATAGCGACACACATCCTCAAAAACAAGTGTACACATCTGTGTACTTCTCTTTACGTGTTTTAATCAAAACGTCCATACTTAAATATAAATCTGAATTATAATCTATGAAATATTTACCATAKGTCAGACCTGGTCTGTCCTACTCATCCAGTAATATTCATTCAAATAATACATTTTTTAATAAACCCAATAACGTTACAATTATTCAAATAATTTATAGTATTGCTCTCATTTCTCGCTTTCAACCCTTTGCATTAAATGCACCACACAAAATAAAAGAAACTTAAAAACAGCAAGAATATTACTCAATGGTGTGAGAAAATTAACCAATGATTAATTTTAAAAAATAATTCCTTTTATGTACACTGGCGAAGACCAAAAAAGAGGCATCACAAAAGACAGCTTCTTCTTTTGTGCCTTGAGTTAAAAAATAAAATAAAATAAAAATCTGAATTCAAAGTAAAAAAGACGAGGTCCTCCTGAAAGAAAAGAAAAGAAAAGAAACAAAGTCAGATGTCTGTGTTGTCAAAATATAAAAATACAACTTTGTAAAGAGCTTGATTTAGCTTACTGTGGCTGATGTGCTGTCAGATTTACAGCCCAGCTACGGTCTGGTCTCAACAACCTCTTCACTCTGTAACAGACAGAAAGCAGCTCATGTTCATCAAAGCCTGCGTTCATTCATGTCACAGGGTAAGAAAATGGTTTCTTTTTTTAACCCCTTTTCTTTATTCTACTTTGTGCAAAAGTAAATAAAAGTTTGGTACCGGCATAAAAAAAAAGGGATTAATTTGTTTTTGTTTCAGCGAATGTTTTCAATGCATTTCATTTTCTTTCTTTGCATTATGCCCAATAATAAAAAAAATGCCTGTTGACAGTATATACTGTGTATATATGTAAAACAAAGACAACAACATAAAGATCCCAGGCCTGTYCCACTTTCATCTGTAAAACTTGAGACATCAAACAGGTGCTTCTATCAGGCACTAGCTGCGTTTCCATTGCAAATGTGCGCAAAACTTTGTCGATATTCTGTTAATGTTGAAAAACACAGTTTCGCAACTGCAGTGTTTTAGTAAGAAACGCTATTAAAGTCACGCGTGAATACGCTTGTTCTCGCGATAAGTCATTACAAACATGGCAGCAATGAATGTAAACACATGCATGTTGCTACCACGACACTAGCGCTCATCATCGGCCATCAGAGGAGACGTCGGCRTCTTATCCAGGCTTTCCAGCGACAAGCCCCTTATACTGGGGAGCAGCTACATATGCTGCGTTTTTGGGAAATTGTAGTCGTTGAGTTTAATACTTTCTTTTACTACTTCAGTGATTTCACTACTACTTTTACTTCCTGTTATCTTCTTTGTCGTCGTCTTTTCTCCAGTAGAAATGGCCAGTTCTTGATCACGTGACTCTTGTTATGTGAAAACAGTGTTTCCATTGCAGTTTTGCGAAATAAATCAATTTCAATATGGCCGAAAAACCACCTCATCCTAGCGCAAAAACATTTTGTCAAAAAACGTAATATTTTTTCRAAATTGACGTGTTTCCATTGAGAAAATTTGTTTTTGAAATTGCAATTTGCGCATTTTCATGGTCAATGGAAATGCAGCTACTGTGCCCTGCAGCGTATGAGTGTTGTGTATGCAGGTGTTTCAGAACCAACCTCAAATTCGGACAATCCTTCTGATTCTAAGACTGATGAGTGGCGTGTAATTGGAGAAACGGGTGGAAACACAGACGTGGGAGACAAGTTTGGCCCGTGGGATAGAGCCTGGCTCCGTTTCACAGCGGAGGACACTGCCTGGGCGAAGCGGGAAGGAGTCGGCGGAACAAATGGTCTGGGAGCTGCAAAGCTCCTGAATTTTTCCAAGCTTAGCCCCGCACTTGGCTCTCTAGACGGCAGGCTGCTTTGCCTCGTCATTCTCACAGAGGATACATTCTCGCCGTCCTGCTGGGGGCTGGACTGAACATCCGTGGCCTGTGCTGCCTCCTCGTGAAACTCTACAGGAGGTGGAGGCAGAGGAAAAGTAGGAGAAGGAGGGGGAGGAGGAGGGGATGGCAGCGCCGCGCCTTCGGCACTCCCTCGAGTCTCCTTGAGCCCAGAGCCAGGACCGGCGCCGAGGCTTTTCTCAGCAGCTGAAGTTACATAATATCCAGGTGTTTTTTTGTGCTGTGCCAAGCGGAGAGAAGCAGGCTTGGGTTTTGTTGCAGGTGGAATTTTCATTTCCTTGACCTCTGCTGGGGAAGCTGGTGGAGACACTGGATTAGCAGAGGAGAAGATCTTGTCTGGGCTTCGTAAGGCTGTTGGTGAAGAGGAATGAGTAGGTTCGGGTATACTTCCATTTACAGTGTGTTGAGTAGTAGTAGTAGCAGCATTAGTAGTAGTAGTGGTGGTTACTGTGCTAGTCAGTAATTCATCCCTGGGTAAATTCAAACCTAGCTCACATTTCTCTTTTGAAACATCAGTCTGTCCCTCCTGTTCTGTGCTCTCATTTAAATCAAGCGAACCAAGATCAAGCTTCTCTCCTGGAGTTTTAGAAGCAGCCTCCAGTGTCAGTGCAACTTCATAGTATCTCAGTTTATCATGAGATTTCTGAGGCACAATAGTGTAAGTAGTCATCCCCACTTTGGGGATGTAGTCCCTTGTCAGCTCATTGGAAGGCTTAGGTTTTGGCTCAGAGTTTGTGGTATGCATAGGCGATGCTTTCAAAGCAGCAGGCACACTTGGCGTCGAGTCTTGGCATGATGAAGTTTGGAATGAGGCAGGTTTCAGGTCAGAGGGTTCAAGCTCCTCTGTCAGAGTGGCTATGTCTTTTTTCTCCACAGTTTGTACAGCAAGTGGCTGTGCTGATGAAGGCACTTTGTCCTCTTGATGCCGAGGAGGCGGCACGGAGCGTCTTGTGAAATCGGTTTGCGCTTGAGCGTCTCCTCCAGTGGGGGATGGCGTGCCGGTGGACGCCGAGTTCTCCGAGCCATCGGTCAGCTCTTGAAGGGTTTCAGTGTTTGCTTGACTGGAGGCCTGCACTTCTGCATTCTTCTTCTCGGGTGGAGGTTGGATGCTAACGCTGCGATCACCTTCAGCACTTCCCGCTGCAGACTCTTTGCAGTTGGACTGTGAGCCATCTTCAGGTGGTCCACTACCTAAAACAGAAAAAAAAGAAAAAAATTATCATGTAAAAAAAATTGTATTTTTAGAAAGAAAAACAAAAGTTGACAGATTAATGCGAAACTGAAGAAATCTATCAAATTTCTGAAAATAAAAAAAAAGTAAAACTGAAAAGAATGGTATGGTTTTGTTTTGAAGAAATACTCACCGGTAACTGTCAGTTCATGTGTGTCTGTGATTTCAATTTTCTTTTCACTTAGATCTGCAGAACCGTTTATAATACTTTCCAGCAGACTGAAAAAAATAATAATAATACAAAGACTTAAAAATAACTGCCAGTGATAGGGGGGAAAAACACTTCAAAGTTGTACATAGCATTACTACAGTTCGTACTTGCCATCTGAGGACAGATCAGGAAACTGATCTTCCCCAGTCTCCTCCACTGTGCCGCTGCACCTAACATCTAGGGAAGGCGAAGGGAATGAGACTTCAGACGACACGGCGGGACGACTGAACGCTTCCTGGGTAATGCAAGCAGCTGCACATGTTGCAGACCCGCTTGTCTCCTCCTGCTCCATGATCTCTTGCAGCGTGTTAGCAGCCACAGTCTCTGTAAAACATCAAAACATGCACATGTCAACCAGGAGTGTCCAGTCAGTCCTAACTTCTCATCAATAACTTTTCCATCTTTAAGCAACAGTTCGGAACTTCTGAAGTTGTGTTTTGTGGAAAGTGATGAACAGTTTTTATCTTACTTGTAGAAAGCTCTTTGAATAGTCTTGGTTTGGACAAACAAGAGTTCAACTCTAGTTGTCAGCTTGTCAATCTGCTCATCAATAAACTTTATTTCTCCAAAATAAAGTTGTTCAAAAAGCTTTAAAAAAAAGTGTAAGAAAAATAATTTATAGCATTTTCCTTGAACTCCATATCAAAATATCTGACCTATTCCCGTAACGCCTGATTTAGCAGCTAAAGGAAGTGTGACACAGAGGCGCAGTGAGCAGCAGGAATTTCAAGGCCACTTAAACAAAGCTTGCTGTTCTCAGCCTCTGATCTCAGTATTTGCAGAATCACAAGTGGAAGACTTGAAAAAAAAAAAAACAATGGCAGCCATGTTTTTCTATAAATTCTATGCTGAAAATATCTGAATCTTATGAAAAGATGTCTGAAGACAGATGTTAAGATATGATAAGATGATATGATAAGATGTTAGTAGAGAATTATGAGAAACAGGAAGTGGGACACATCTTAACAGAGCAAGAATAATTGAAAATAAAACAAAGCTAATAAT